CATAATTTAAATCTTGTGATCATAGGAAACATGTTCGAGTGACTTTTTTTATTTATGTTAAATACAGTAAATCTTTTTTTAAGTACGTGGAATGTTTTTGTTTGTTGAGTCAATGTTGCCGACACGTAGACTAACATTACCTGGAAAAAATATAAACAATGTTAGCGCTATCCTCTTGCATCATTTAGCTTATCGCCGGGGGTTTTCCGGAGGTCCTTGGGAGACAATAAATCGTTAAGTTTTATACATATACCGGGTGGGGGATTTTAAACATGTCACCTGAATAACTCGCTTGTTTTTGAAGATAGGAGAAAATGCATTAGACCAAACTTACTTAATACCAGCTCATAATCTGGTATTACCAATATTTCTGTAGATGGAAGCGTCAAGGATTATCGTTACACTGCGGTACTTTATGCAAAATAAAATCTTCGCGAACGTGCCTACAGAAAGTGAACCTAAATACGAATTTAATTTATTCTGCAAATATTATAACATGAACTTTCCTTTCAATCTTTTTTATATTCTTGCATATTGGTTGGATTTCGCAATTTCTTGCACGTTCAAATGTCCTATAAATGCATAAGGATCCGCAGTCTAATTATCATTTGAAACAGAGAAACGAGATTCTAAAATTTGAAGAGAGCGACAAAATAGAGGCTTCGATAATTTTGTTAATCAAAGACCACTCGCACTGTTAATTGCTTTTATTCTATGTTAAGTTTAAATATGGCACCAACACACAAGTATGGTGTTCCTCTATAATTTTCTTTCCTGTCAAATGTTTGCTTCAGCTTGAACCACGTGTCACACAGAACTATCAATTCAGTGCCAGCGAACAACTCGAACGGCACCGTCGAGGCTGACAGTAACAATAATGGTCAAACGGCAGCCAGTCTTCATCAGTTACTTTACTCGTCCAACGAGGAGTACCCTCCAACATCGTCCTCGGGGAATCACGTTTCCTCTTCTCAGCAGGGAAACGAACACAATGAGGACTGCCGGTACGTTCATGAAAAATTTGTTCTGGAAATTTGGATTTCTATTAGAATTCTAATAGAGCTTCAAAAAAAATAGAGATTTCTTTACTATAATTCAACATTTTACTTTACTACAAAAATAATTGTACCGGGAATATATATGAATTGTACAAGGTGTCCCAGAATTAGTGTAAGAACCAGGAATGAGGAAGGGGGTAGCTGTGGCGATTCTGAACAACAATTTCCTTTGAAAAAACAATAAATAAAGAAATCTTTAGTAACATTTTCTCGAGAAAACGGTACAGGTGATTTATTTCAAACTATTGCAAGTGGATGTATTCATACAAAAACCAACTAGCAGTAATTTGTGTAAATAAAATTTTGAAAATAACTACGTATTTTTATGTGATTTTCGACGTTGAATGAAATATCGGAAATTTGAATTTGCAAAAGTTTGTTTTGGATAAATTCATTTATGAAGAAATTATCTTAATTTTAAATTGAATAATTTAATGCTTATCTACCTTGTACATTTACGTGGCATTTGTGACGATTATAAGGATATCGTCAATTTATTTTTTATACGTTCTCGTATCTTTCCCAAATTTTTAATGGATAAGTGGTTCATAGAATATCTTATTATTTGGAAATGGAGTATGACGAAATAATGAAATACTAAATTTATTAATTAAAAGCTCTAATTTCGTTATTACTAAGTCACGAATAAGCTGTTTTAAGAAAAAGGTAGAAAAAATTTCTAGCAGTATGCATTGTAATTTTCGCACATCTGTTCAGTCTCTAGTAAACTATACGAATCATCCTCTCTCAAGCACTTGAGAGGGCTGGCCATATCCTAAATTTTCTCATTCGTTATTCTGCAGTGACAGATATACAGGGTGTCCCAAAGTTAGTGTACGAACCCAAAATGATACCTGAGACAATTCTGAATAACAATTTCCTTTGCAAAAATGTCGAACTATGCCTCGTTTTTGAATTATTAACGAAAAACGCTCGACCAATCACAGCGCCCGAGTAGCGCGCGCTCGACCAGGACTGGCTAGCTACCCCAGGTCGAGGCGTAGCCAACTGAGCGCGCGCTACTCTGTCATTGGTCGGTGCTTTTTCGTTAATAATTCAAAAACGGAGCACCATTCAACATTTTTGCAAAGGAAATTGTTGTTCAGAATCGTCTCAGCTACCCTCTCCCCCATTTCTGGTTCTTACACTAATTCTGGGATACCCTGTACAATTTATATATTCCCGGTACAATTATTTTTGTAGTAAAAGAAAATGTCGAATTATAGTAAATATTCCAACACTTGTAAACATTGATTGCGAAACTGATAAGATAATTAGGGCTATCAATTTATTAGATCCTATTAATTGAACGTGGAATGTTGTGTTGGTTAGCTTTCAGTACGTCCTCGCAGCGGCCACGAGCATCGCAACGAAAGTCAACGAGGAGACGCTCACGTACCTGAACCAGGGACAATCGTACGAGATAAAACTGAAGAAACTGGGCGATCTGTCCGCGTATCGCGAGAAAATTTTGAAGGTACGTTGCCGCTATCACGAGCCTTCCCGAAACGCACGAGGATGCTCTGAATTAGTTTGGGTAACGACATCTTAAAAAACGTGATGATTTCTCTGGATGGTATCAAGCGAGCTCATGCTGGTCGCAGTGTGTGGAATCGTTCCGATAAATAGTTGACCTTCCTTTCGGATGGAAGGAACGGTGTCGTGACACGGGGACGAATTTTAGTTCGAGCACGAAACAATGTAACTAGAAAAAGAAGACTAGAAAAAAAATTTACTTATGAGGAATATCACTGTACTTGTGCACACCGATTTTTACAGCGCCCAAGAATATTAGATACTTGTGTTTATTAGCGGATTATATTCATAGTCGAGAGATGGAAACTACCCACAAAATTGTGGTTTTTTTATAAAATTCAAGTTCGGAAAAATTAACGGAGAAAAAAGGTTCAAATAAAAATTACAGTAAACCTGTATCCGCATCAATGATATATTGTACTTCACATTTCAACGATTCATTGGGAAATCATAAAATTTGTCTGCGTCTAGCTTATTAATGATCGCAATCCAAGCCCTAATTATGAAGTAATTTATACCACGAATATTCTTTTTTATTTCCTTCAGCTTTTGATCAACCTTCTCTTAACTAAATAAATATTTCGTCCGCAACATTGAATTTCAATCCTAGAACATGAATGTAAATCCACATAAATAAATGTTTAACAGTTTTCAATGGTCCATCTGTGTACAAAATTCCATCAAAATGGCGTACCATGGATGATATTCTTTGTCGGAATTATTTATGTTTATAATACTATTATTTTAACAATCCCGGTTGGTAAACATATTAAAATCAAAGACTTTTTAAATAAATTAATCGACTTTTTAGACAAATTTCATCATCTAGATTAATGTAACGTACTTCTCGCACAGCCAGCAAGTATTAATAATTTTTAAAAAGTATTTTAAGCAACTGGTACACCGGGGACCATTTAAAAAATCACGAAAAATTCTATTTTTTAACCGACTTCGAAAAGGAAGAGGTTACTCAATTCAACATGTATATTTTTTTCATCGCTCCGATAAGTTCATCGCTGCGTTAATCGTTTTTATTCTCATTCTTTACGCTTAAAAGATGTCAAGTTCGGCGTGAGCTCATAGGTCCTTAACGTTCGAAAGATGTACGTCATCCAAACGGTGCTACAACGTCTCTGAAGGGATATCCGACCTTTTTGTTTCAGTCGACGATACGCATATGCTTCCACGAGAGGCGACTTCAGTACACGGAACGGGAGCAGATGCTCGCTTGGCAACGCGCAAGACCCGGTGAAAGATTACTGGAGGTTGATGTGCCACTCAGCTACGGTATGGTGGAAGTTTGTCAACCATCTCCGTCGAATAACAGCGTGGAATTCATGTGGGATCCTACCAAGGAAGTTGGCGCTTACATAAAGGTACGCATCATCGAGTGGTAAGGGTGATCGTTGACCCTTTTCGGGAGGAGCTGGAGTAATGTAGAAGTTTGTAGTTGATATGTTACGGTGAATGTTATACATGCGGTGATTAGGAAGGATTATCAATAAAGTTGGTAAATGTGATAAATTATGGAACATTTATCAGTATTTCCGTGTAGACAGTATATGCATTAACAATTTTATCACATTCCCCATTACGAGATGGGAATTGTATTTAACAGTATTCAATATTCCCACCCTCACCAATGTATTCCTACC